CCGCAGGCTTTCAATTTTCAGAAATGGCCATTTATTGGCCAGGAGAAAGAATTCTCATCAGCTTCTAGCAGCCTTTACTTCCATAAGTGTCTCTTACTTTTTTTTTTTTTTTCCTTAATTGCCAATCCATCACTCTCTTAAACATGGCCAGGCTGATAAGGGTTTTTTTTCCTTTTTCAAACTGTTCAGACACAGCACCTACTGTTAAAAATAAAATGTAACAGCATTGAGTAGGACCAACTCAACGAGCAAATAAATCACAAGCTTTAGCCAAGTTCTATACAGCATTTATCTAAGTAGCATCAAACAGAAACTCCAATCAGCCTTGCACAGAAGGATGAAGCTCAGGGCTTGACTCCACAAAACATGGAAGATATGGAAACAGTCTGGATGTGTTTAATAGGTTCAGTAGTAAGCTAGACCAAAGCACGTGGGCTCCTGCTCATCCATGCCTGACAAAACAATTCTGCAACAGGTAATGCTCCTGTAATTCCAATAAGAAGCACTGACAATTTCACAACAGCCCACAAAAGCATACAGAATAATGCTCTGATAAAATAAGTCTCTGATAAAATATAACTGAAGGTTAATTTCTCAGCAATCCAAGGCTGCTGAGTTCCTACATCTACTCACAGCAAAACCTTCTGCAGTCACAGTCAAATCTTACAAGCAGTAAGGGTGCATGGCACACAAGGGTGTGCAGCACCTGAAGCTCCCTGACTGAGCTCATCATCTCCCACTTAATGTTCTAGTGAGCAGGTACAGAGCATGTGAAGCAAAGAAAATGTTCATTACTCTTCCTAAGTGTCATAAATCTGAATACTGGGAGAAAGAAAGGCAGGCAGGAAGGCAGAGCAGGAAGGCAGAGCAGGAAGGCAGAGCAGGAAGGCAGAGCAGGAAGGCAGAGCAGGAATTCCTGCCACAACAGCAGTGCCAACACAGCAACACAGGTGACATCAAGGCATGGGCACATCCCAGTGCAGTTCAACACCTGTCACCTGACAGAGCAGAGGAGCCCCAGAACCACTGGCACACATCCAACACCAACAGGAACAAGCTGTCTTACAACAGGGGGAGGTACCAGCAAAGCAAACAATGACAGAAGACAGGAATCAGAAAACAGTTATATTGCTTGACTACAAATCCTATGTTATGTAGTTCTTACCATTATTAAATCACAACTTTTCCATTCTTCATGTGTTTCTGTGTTCCTTGTAACTTGTATAGTCCATATGTTCACAACAGATGGATCAATGCTGTAGCTCAGCGACATTCTTCTAATTATAGATGGATTTATGAAATTCTTAAATAATTTTGAAGTAAATACTTCCTGCTGAGGGAAGGTGAGTCAGTGTAGCTTCACTGTCAGCAGCTAACACTGAATCCAAGGATATGAAATTGGTATGGTTTTATTACAAGGAAAAGGTCAAGAATTTATTTAAAAGATAACATCACAAAAAGCTGAAGGAGACAAATAGGCAAAGTGTTGAGAAAGTGAGCACGAAACAACAAAAAAATTAAGTGGAAGTTAGATGCAGAGACAATCCATACAGGCTTGGTAGAATGCAGGGTTCCAGAGGACTTTGATGACTGAGCATTATCTGCCAGACACTTTAAATAAATTACTTCTTTTTCTTCAGCTTCATTATGTAATCTAGTCTCATCTCAGTGAGGTAAAATAAAATAGGATAATGTATTGTTAAAGTAAGACTGTGTGAAACAACTTCAGATACCTCATAACTTAAAGACAGTGTTTAAAGTTTGAATTTACATCAAACTTTAAGTTTGCTTTAATGGTTTCAGATTTTTCCTGTCTCCTTACTGATTCTCATTTGAAGTGTAACTAACTAGTTGTAACTAATTTTCCAATAAAAATTATTGAATGAAGAGTTAGTTTTTGCAATTTAACAACTCATTAATTTATAGTCATAAATTCCAGCAGTGTGGCAGTCTGAATGCTAAGCTGGCTTCTCCAAAAGAAACAACACTGACATCTGTTACAAGGGTGATTTACTAAATGACTGCATTATGCTTTACTGATTTCACCAAATCACAAACCAAGAAGCTCTGCTAATAATCATATCAGTGATTAAAAATTCACTTGGAGCTAATTTACAAACACATCTTTAAACTGAAAATTCAGTAAAAGCTGATGTATATTATTTAAAGCTGTACAATCATCTGCATTTAACCTGCAAGTTGTCTCCCATTAATTTGTAACTTTGAGTGGCATCAACATACTTTAAACCTAGTATGTACAGACACATGCCATAACCAAGACAGTACATCTCAGACTGAAATAACAGCATAACCGATATTATGTTAATACATAAACACACACTGTGCTTTTCATGGAATATCAGACAACATTCTGTCGCTCTCCATGAAAAGAAACCAACATTTGTATTTTCCAATTTTTACTTTGTGTTTCCTGTGCAAATTAAGTCAAGGGTAGTTCAAGTGATTTTTACAGCTCCCAACGTTATGCAGACTGCAAAGCAATATTGCAGCAGTCTTAATCTTCCTGGCTCTTGGAGGTGTGAGGGGATGGAGATCCCCATTTTTGCAAGGTGGCACTAAACTACTGAATAACTCTTCCAATCCTTGTGCCACACTGTGAGGTAGTGCTGCTACATGCTCTTACAAGAGAAAATGGGGTACACCACCCAGACCTGCCAAAATTTGCCAGAAAAAGAAAGAATCCAACTCTCCTGTCCATCTTTCTTCCCTCTCCTACTAGTCTACCTGCTAAAAGACAAAAGGTAGCAACAGAAAACAGATACGTGCAATGTGTTTTCTGTACAAGAGACTGACACTCTCATCTCCTCATTTTAGGTCTCATTCTCCATAGCATATGTCCTTGGCCATGCAACTTTACACCTACAGTATACATTGTTATTGTCTGTCACAAGATGGTGCAAATATTAAAATGCAGCTGGAAATTCACTAAACTCCACCAAGGGTCAACAGGTCATGGAGGTCTCTGATGGTTTAGCCCCCAAAGGTGGCCTTTCCTCCCTCATTTTGTTTTCCTCTTTCAGATTCTGGTCCTCCTCTCTCCAACACAGAGAGGAGAAAGCCCGCACAGCCCCTCTCCCTCAGGCCACAGCCAGCAGCACCGAGGATGGTTCCCCACTGGGGTGACTGCCTGATGAGGCCAGGGACCCCCGTTCCCAGCCACTCCCCTGTACCACATGCTGCTCCAAAGAAATGGCAGCTGCAGGGTCCAAGTGGCTGCTTCACCTAATCACAGGCCCTTATCTGCCAAAAACAGACTCCTAAATTTGTTCTCATACAAGAGACATCATACACAAGATGCTGTAGCAGAATGCTACCAGATTAACAGTCCTCATTTTCCCTGTCACTTCTGCCAAGTGATCCCAGTGGTTTCCAAACTTTGCACACTGAATCAGTACAAAACTTTAAAGCATGGGCTCCCAATACATGTATGCTTATTTATAAACTATATATATGTACTACTCAACTAATACAATATGCTTATTTTAAAACATACACAGAAACTATAAAGGAAAAGAAAGATAAAACAAACCAAAAAGTATTTCCTTCCTGCACTCCAGTGGACTGTCCTATACACACTCCACTTCGGAAACCACCAATGTGAGCAAACATTTCATCAGATAAGCTGCATAGTTGGGAGAAAAGACAGCTCAGTCCAGGCCTTTCCTCATATTCCCATATTATTTATCTAATATGCTTAGGCCTGTTCAGTCTCCCTGCTCATATACAAAGAAAAGGGACTACAGTTTTAAATCAATAAACCAGACCTTGCTTTATAAACTCCTATTGCTGGATTTGAGTGCAAAATCAAAAAACTATTTTCCCTAAAATTCTCCTGAAACAAAGATTGCAAGTTCACTCACAATTAAGAGAGAGGCAGTACACAAATAAACCTGAACCTATTATGAGTTCTTTTTCTGAGGACTCTCAATGGCTTGACTAACTGCAAAGTTACCCAGGCTAGGAGAGTGCACACTTTTTACAACTACTTCATTACTATCCCTGTTGTTTTAACAGTTGGCAAGAAGCAAAAGCTTCAGATACAGCTCCAGGAAGACTCCTTCAATGCTTCTTGCAAGAGGAAACAACTTCTTAAAGTATATCCAGCCTTCATAGACCCCTTTGTTATTAAGGGCTGTTTTTCAGGGGACCCTCTGAACCAGTGATCTGAGCAAGCTAAAATTAGCTAATCAGAAAGCTAGTCTTTCAAAAAGCAAACAAAAAAACTCCATCAAACTCCAAGAACACTTCAACTAAATTGATCTGTGAAAGGGGAGAAACGGTAAGACAAACACTGCTTCTTGATATCATCAATAAACTGATACGCACAACTTTGCAAAAACATGTCACAGAACGGAGACTGTCATTTCAGTGAATGCTTTTCCCACACAGGCAGGACAAACTGAAGGGGTGATCCCTCATCAGCAGAGCAGCCAGGCTGACCTAAACCACATACAGGCAACACAGCACTGAGGGGTTGGACAGTTGTGCAGGCTGCAGACCATGTTCCCAGAGCCTCTCACAGCATAAAAGACCAACAACACTGTCCACTCAAACTGGAATTCTTCACTTTTATAAAATACACAAGAAAATGGGAGAGGAATTAAAATAGCCATCTAGGTAAATGGAAGGTTTAGTTGCAGGAGCTAGTTAGTTAACAGTTGCCAAGGAGGACTACTCTGGCTGCTACTCAGCCTGTCACTCCTTGTTTGACTGTGGTGTGCCATCCAAACAATCTAATGTGTTTCAAACGTAGCTCTCATTTCACTGATCAAATACATATAAAATCAGCCACCTGCCATGTGAGAAAATGACTAATGCTTGCATCTTTTAAGCTCTTCGCTTCACCACTGAAGAAGCTTTTGAATACATCACCATTTGAATTTGCTGAAAGAAACCTGCTTTTCAAAACAAGATTTCAAAGGGCTTAAGAAAACATACAAGGAGATGATAAAGATCAAAGATAAATCTGAGTAACTTACTGCAGCTGCTGCGGCCTCCTCTCCACCTACATAGATAGAAGAAGCAATCTCCATCACAGACAAGTTTGTGGGAGCATCTGTAGTGGATGATGATCTGGGCCGTCCCGATTGAATATCCTGAGCAGACCTCCTGTTGATCTGCGGGCTTCCTTTCGGGGCATCTCCCTTGCCCCACCTGCTGTGCAGGCTGGTCCCTCTCTTCATTTTGGGAGGCACTCTGATCTGCTGAAGCACCCGGTTCAGAGCTGTGGGGTGGGTGGAGACACCATCAATTTCAGCACAGACGCTTTGGCTTTCCAAATCCAGGTCAGACTCCAGCTCAGCCTGAGCTTGCTGGACATCGTGAGGAGAAACAGACGACCTCCTGCGCTGATGCTGGAACAAGTGCTTCAAGCCTTGACCAATGACATTAATGTTCTCCAAAGCATTATGCGTTATTTTGGATAATTTTTGCTCTGATTCATGTTGTTTTTTGGTCTCTTGATCTTGGGATTTGCCTCCAGGATCAGGGTCATCAGACAACTGTTCAATGCCAGACGGCTCCATTGATGACACCCAACAAGTTTATTTGACTATTCATACATAAATACGTCCCCTTTCTTAAAAGGCTTGTGTTTATTTTGAAAATGCCAAGATTGCCAGCCAATTAGGTGTGTAATTGCTTCAAGAATGACTACACATGCAGCTGTGCCACGGTGATCTCATGCTTATCTAATGTTAAACAAAAGAGTAGTCATTATTATACATCCATGCAGCAAGTGTGGGTTAAAAATCCAAAGCTCAAAACATGCTGTTAACAAAATAAAATGCATCAGTCCTTGGAGCACCCCTCCACGTGGCATTAGTTGCATCTAGGCTGTAGGCTAAAGCCGAAGCTTGTGTGAGACAAGTCACTCATTGCCTGGGGGGAGAAGCCCAGCACAGAGGGTGCAGGAAAGCAAGAAAGGCAGAAACTGTTCAAAAGGGGGAGAAGCAAGGAGAAATCAGTGGGGTTTTGTTTATTTAAAACGAGCCCATAATAACATCTAACAGAATATGAGGTTAAACTTCTGAAGAGCACGCTAGTCACTTTGGCAGAATTAATTTTGCTCTTTGACAAAGATCTGATACAAAGACCCTAACTTAACAACATTTAATACATGCAAACAACCAGAACAGTTCCAAATGAGTTATTAATTTCCAAATAGTGAGAAATGGTTTATTACAGCCAGCATCCATGATGGCACCGGAAACTAGATGTGAAAATCCGTCTTCAAGCAAGAATAGGCTAGTGAAACGCTTTCAATTGGCAAACTCTTGTCCATAGCTCTCAGAGGAAACAAGAATGCCTTTTGAAAAGTAGGTTAAGCAACCAATCTGCAAGGGATCAGCAGCAGGTATGTGCAGTTCAGCCTCTGGCACAGGAACTGCACAGCTGTTCTTGGAGAGCTCAACCTGAGTCTTTCCCTGGGCTCAGGCAGGCCTGGATTATACAACAGTGCAACCACTATGGGAGAAGGTCAGCAAAGATACAGGGAAGGAAGGGAGGGAGGGAGGCAGGAAGGACACAATAACTGAAAGAGTTTTACATCAGCACCATGAGATCACATGCTCAGAAGCTGACCACTGTTTTCTGCAGGAGAAAACTTTGATTAGGCTTCTATAAATACAAGAACCAGTTCACAGAAGTCTACCTCAATCTTGGCAGAAAGGAGTTTATGCTTTAGAAAAGAATTACTTGAAACTCAGCATATTTGGGATTTGAGAGTGTTCACTTCTGTGCTAAAACAGCTGCAGAAACATAATGCATTAAGTTTACAATTGGAGTACTCTCAAATTTGTGCATCTGAAGCCTAACACAATGGGTTAAACAGATATTCCAGAATGCTTTCCAAACTGCCATCCAAAAATAGCAGAAGAGCCGCCCGTCTCTCTCTTTTTTTCAAGTGCTACTGCTATCAGTTGAAGGCAAGAAGAAACTCAGTACTTAGAGAAAGCAGAACACTGAAATCATGCAGGATTTTATCTCAGTACTTTGAAGATGCTACAAGCATTGAGTCTAAATGTACTGGCCAGTTTAAGCAGTAACACATTAAATGCAAATGAATAAACTACATCCAAGAAAAATATATTTACCTACATTCATGCAGCAATTGTGTGGTGGAAGAAAAAAAGATGTGCCAACGACATATATTTAACACTTTCTTAAATGAATTCAAGTGTCTTTATGTCTAGTAGTATGCTTTGGCTTTTAAGCTTGTTCTTTCTTAATGTTTTTTTTTTCCTCCCTCAGGTAACAACTTTTACAGAGTTTACAGTTTTACAGAAAGTTTTACAGAAAGTCAGACTACAGGTCTCCACTCAATTTATGTTTTGGGACAAAAAAATGCAAAATTAGATGCTCATTTTTAACCAACAGACCAGATGGTTCAGTGAACAAAACTCACCATCTAAAAAAGCAAGAGTCCCAAAACTATCTGGCATATAAAATACAAACCTGACAGCTGACCCATAACTGCCTTTTTCATTATGGCTAGTTCACTCAGTGTTTATTTTTCAGTCAGGACTCACTGAAGAACTGCAGTTATTATCTAAGAAGACCAGTATACTCTCCAGCCAGGAGCTCTTCGACCTCCTACATGCTCTCTATCCACATTATCACTGGTAATGTTGTTGGTCTTAAAGAACACCACTTGAATCTAACTAGACTTCCATGGATTATCTGCTAGAAAAAACTACCCTGCTTAAATTAACCCTATGTCAATTTACCATCCCACAGTGAGCTCACAAACAAGGCATGGCCACCCCTGTGTATCCTGGGACAGATTTCTGAAATTATGTGGTCTCTGAGAGGCTCCTAAATGAGAGCTTTGTAGTCATTCCCTATTTCTATTTCCACAGGGTCAGTCTGTTGTGAGCCTGAAATGAGCTTTGCAAATTACACATCTGGTATAAAGAGCCTTACAACTACTTACCTGTTCTAGTATCTACTTTTGGGGAAAAAAAAATATTTTTAAGTGTGAAGAACTGTGATTATTCAGAATTAATTAGCACACTTATTTGCATTAGGATTCAACTTTTGTGCTCACTTTTGTTTTCTCTACTTATAACCATCTTTATATTCTGTTAGTGGGAGGAAAGAATACTTTATAGTTCAAAAACATACATTTCTTATTTGTACAAGAATATACTAGATCAGGAACAAAAATCACAATTCTGTATACAGCAAACTGAGCAGATGTTATAACATTATTACATCCCAGAATATTTTAATACAGACCTACATTTGTGCAATTATTTCCCAGGAGCCCTGGGAAACAAAACATTTCAAAAGGAAAAACTGGTAAAACCAACATTAGGTAACAGTGAAAGATAAACTTGTACTTGCCTCCATCATTTGCCCTTTAGCATGGCTGACCCACAGCAGTACCTCCACTGAACAGAACTGCAAAAGAAATTTGGTATGAGATACAATTCTGGAAATGGGAGGAAAGATATATATGTGAACAGCAAAGTAAGAGCATGATACCAACTTTCAGTATTTTTATTTTTTTTTGTAATTTTTTTTTTCATTGAAATGCAAGCATCCTTGGAAGCTGTCCTATTTCAAACTCTTTCAAATAACTAAAGGGATACAAATATGACTGAAGTTGAAACTGAATCTTGTAGAGTTAATCAATAAGTTCTCATGAAAGAGTATTTTTTCTCAGGGTTTATGGCCACTAGGTCATGCTGAAAGCAGAGGAAGATGCCAGGGATGCAGCGTGCAAGGTCAGTCTGCACCTTAGAGATTTTATTTTCTTCTCCTATTTAGTCATTCAACACTCCCAGCGCAGGTCAAACAGCTGGCTCTTATTTCCCTGGCATTCACCTCACAGGAGGTAAATGCTGTGAGCACTCGGACACAGCTGCCACAGCTCATGGCAGCGGCTGTCCCCCGGCAGCTCCTGCCTGTACACTCACACAAGTGTACCAAAGGCCAGGTCAGACAAGGCTAGGAGACAGAAGGACAGCTGAGAGCAGACATGGTGACTGCATTTCTCTAGCCAGCCTCACAGACCAGTCTGAAACACAGCCAGAATTTTCCAAATTAACTCAACCGGTTCTTGAAAACAGGGAGTACACTATCTTCAGAGGAACACTACAAGAACTCTGCACAACTGGCACATTTTGACTGTTTTATTCCACATCAGATTCCCACCTCCAAGACAGCAAGAGAGGAAGAAAGATCAGATCCACTGAAGTGGGATGCTAGAATATGAAAAAAGTGATGACAGCAAAATTAAGAACTTAGAAAAAATGAATTAATACATTTTTTCAAAAAGATCTCCATATAGAAGAAATTCCATTTCTATATTAGCACGAATGGAGAACAAAGCATAATGTGTGAAGTACTGGTCACATGACATGTCACAAACAGAACTTCAGTCACTCTATTTTTCATCTTTTTTTAAAGTTTTAATGTTATTTTTTATTTATAGTAACTGTAAGCTTTTGTCAGCAAGGTCTTCAGAGATATGACCTACAGCACTACAGGTCCCTGCAGATCCTGTGTGCTTTTGGCTCAAGCTGTTCCACAACTGCCACAGAGTCTGTGTCCCAGAGTGCCCACAGGTGGGCACTGAGAGGCATCAGCAAAACTACCTGTACTGTCCCCTCACTGACACACCACCACTTTTCTGTCAGCAGCTCCATTTTCTTCTGGACTTTGAGAAACTATTGCACAGGGCTAATAAAAATTCATTCACTTCCTGGTACTTACAAAGCATAGACATGATCTTGACTTTAATTTTTTTCTGCAGACTCTTCCCACTCTTTCGCATTTCTTTATCAAATACTTTTTAACATAGACATTTAAAAAAATTTGACAAGTATCAGTCTAAAAAGACTTCAGCCCATCAGATTTTAGTTAGACTTTATTCATGTGAATGCTGAAATTAATAAGCTTAATTAATTCCCTTCAAAACCACAGTTCCTTGTAAACAAAGAAAACTCTGAAGCTACCATTGAAAACCAGTTTAGAGATGATTTATCTTCAGCTGAAGTGCTTGTTTAAGAAACAAAGAGTACAGGACTGCAGAAATAGGGAATAAAAATTATTTTCAAGGAAAGGAAACAGGAAAAATCCTGCCTTTTCATAGAATATTTCAAATACCTCTTACTTATGTCATATTTGAACACCATGAACCCTTAACAATAATGCTGAAGTAAAATTACCTATGTAAACCTCACATTTCTTTTATTCCATAAACAGGTCAATTTAACAGCTCATTAAAGACTTGTTATCACAGTTAGCAGGAATAATAGGGACAAGATGCTTCCCACTCATCCTATTTGGTAAAAGAAAAGCATTTTTCAGTTGTTTCAGAATAGAAGTAATTTTTACTAAGAAGTAGCCCAGCTTAGTTTGAGAAATCCCAGATTATTTTCAGATACCCATCCCAAAATGGAATCTGTATCCAGGCAAACAGTTCAGCAAGAAAGACTGAAGAGGCAACAGTCACACACTGGAAAACCACCTATTACAGGAATTGGGCACCCTAGCAAGTAATTTATATCCAAAGGAGGATATTTTACAAACATCATTGCTCAGTAGCGCAAATAAGGAGCAAAAGCTAGAGAGACAGCTAATCCTATCAGAAAAAAGAACTCACGAGAAACCAGAATGGGTGTGAGATTCAAGGGAACTGTCATCTGGAAAACACTTAAAGACAAAGACACCAGTAACAGAGTAAGTAATTTGACTCAAGAAAACAACTGGATAGTAACATGACTACCCAATATGTGGAGAAATGTGTACATTCAGCTATTACAATGGGACAATTTTGAAAAACTCTGAGTGGAAAATTTGGGCCGGAATGGAAGAAGAAGACATATAAATAATTAAATACAAATACCTTAGGTAAATTGCAGAACACAGGCAAAATAAATCAGAAAACAATACTAATTTTAATGGAAAAGGTACCTACAGTTTCACATACATAATTCTTTCTCATCCTCCTCCTCCAAAATTCACCCAAGAAAATATGTTTTTTAATTTTACTGAAGTCTGAAAGAAAAACCACAAATATGACATATAGATACACAAAGACCCTCCCCAGGCCAAGACCAAAAAGGGAGTACGGCTGAGAGAGCTGTTAAAAGAAAAGGCTGTCAATGTGTTTAGGTATGAATTACATGATTTTTAAGATATTCAAGGATAAAAATGGCACTGTGTCTGATCCCATACAAAACATGAAATGTTTCTCCTAAAATCCTCACAAGCCTAAAACACCTCTACACAGTCCAGGCACTTGTTTGTTAGAGGTGAGTATGTTACAAGGAAAAAGGAGTGAGAGCAGATCCCTGAGGTCACTCAGACATTAAGAGTTGTCCTCCTCCTCTCTGGAGCAGGGGTGGGGAGGGAGAGTCACTTTTTCCCATGCCTTCCCATACACATTAACAAATAGCAACTTCAAAGGCTTCATCAGCAGATGATTTTATGCTTTGGCACACCAAAAAGAGTTCACCATTTCTACCACTGTATCCATTAATGGTTCACATGTGCAAGGGCAGCATGCTCAGACATACCAGAAGGTGATCTTTCAACATCAGCCTCTTCTCATATCCACACCCTGTTGAAACAGTTCCTTCCTATAACTTCGTATTTAATACTGCTGACCAGCAGAACTAATGTACACAGTTTATGCTCCTGAAAGCTCAAATAATATTGTACATAAGAAAAACTTCACTTATTGTCACTCACAGAGCATCTGCCAAACATTCTATTAGTGAGTGACAGATCCCTTTCTCCTTTCAATTTCTTATTAAGAAGCATCTACCTGAGTACACCCACATCAGACTCGAGTACCTTCAATATCACCTGTGGGCAACCTCTACATTACTGATGCCCTATGGGAAGTATTGCGTGCCCACTGCTGTCAATGTAGACTAAAAACTGCTGGTACTTCTGCAAAGTTAGGAGTTTACATCTAAGTACCACAGACAACATCAAAGATGAGCCTATTTTCCATGTTTATTTGAATAATAACTCAAAGCAGCTTAAAGTTGAGTGACTGGTTCTCAGAAATGGTTCTGCTGCTTTGCAGTACAACCAATAGCCACTGACATCTTTTCCACTCCTCTCTGAACATTCAGTAATTCAGTGGTTACACTATTTGAATCAAAGCTATCAAGTAAAGATCAAGACTTCTCCAAAATTACTAACCATGCAGACGTACCAATACACTATCATTCAGAGTTTGCAATATGTTAAAACCTCATGTGAAAACCAAAGCAAAACGTTTCAACTGTATTTCTATAGCTGGTGACCTGTCCATTTATCAGAAGCCCTTCCCAACTGCTCTGCTGCATCTAGAGCTGGTGTGCCATGGAGTCTGACCGTGGGGCAATGCTGCTGATTCCCTAGCTTAGCAGAGCTTCATCCTTAATTAATTCCTTAGCTACATAATGTAGTTCTAGGATTATATTACCATAACCTGTGAGCAGTCTGTGAATTCACCCTTGGAATGCTCCTACAATTATGCTGAATTACTATTATTTCCCTGGTTTTCAGGTGAAAAAGCCCCCCACAGAAACATCAAGAAGCTGCCTAAAGGTTATGTGATACTTTAACAGCAGAGAAACAAACTTAAAATTTACTCTTAAAGGGTTAATGTTATACTTCCATGAATTCTCCTGTTACTACCTTCAGATTCATTTATGAACCATGAATAGCAGTATAACTGGAACCTCCTCAAACCACTTAAAAATATTCTTTCCTGGAAAAGGCTACATATAGGCTATTTTCCATCAAATTAATAAAACCAGTGCTTCAAGAAAGCTAAATGAATGTTAAATAACTAGAGTCTTCTGATTAGTTGACATTGACAATTACATACATCATATACATTTTCGTGAAATTTTTTTGTCTGAACCCAGGGCTTCACTGAGAACACTGAAGAGACATTCCCAGCCACAGTCCAAGCAGAGATCTGAAGATGTCCTTTCCAATGCAAGAAGTACAACAGAAATAGCAGTTTAAGGAATTTCCAACCTATTTTGTCCCACAGGGCACACTTTCAGAACCACAGCACAGCATCCCATTTTAGCTTTTGTGGGCACAGATATTTCTAGGGCTGTGATATGAACCAATACAAAAAAAATCTTCTCTTATTTGAAGGAAGACAGGACTGAGGGACAAATCTGACCACAGACCCAGTTATAACAACTTTGGGACAAGATTAGAGAGAGGAAGTATACAGAGTACGCAATTACTCCAAAATGGTGTTCTCAAAAACCTCCAATCTGATGCTATGGCCACAACAGCTACAGAAACAGGAATTCACGTGAGCTTCAGCAAGGACTCATCAGAATACAAGTCACTTCACTTCCACAGTTCAAATACTGCATTTTCCAAACAGAGAAACTACCGTCCCTAAAGGAAAAGACTGAAGAAGTGTTAAG